AAAGAGACTTTGACATGGCATTCAAAGTGGCTGAAGTAAGTTTTAATTTGTTTATTTTTGCCATAACTTATCCCAGATTACATAAAAAGGAAAGACAACGGGAGAGATGATTTAGCTGCATTTTCACACCAGTGCTATCGTTGTTTCTAAATGTTGAACTTTTCATTGCTCATCCTTTTGCTTCTCATCTTCCTGTCATCCACTCTCTGCTTTTGCAGGAATCTCAAAGCTTATCCTCTGTATATGCTGGAAAATACAGAGCCAACTTTCCTCCCTGTGCCATGTTAACTGTTGATAATTAAACAGACCGTCTTACCTCTTGGAAGCAGAGCCAAAGATGGGATACACTGCTGCAGATTCTGTGGAGAAAGTAAAGAAATATAAAAAATAATAAAGCCTTCATGGAACACGAGGACTTTTTTAAACAACTTTTAAAATGAAGAGAGTGGACTAAAAGCTGCTGAAATCTGATGGATTTGATGTGTGCTAGTCAGTGTCTCAGCTACAGTTGCATTGTTGAACTGGATTACTGGTGTCTGTACCTTTGGGCGAGCTGGCAGCAGCACTGGTGGGACTTATATCACTCAGGTCAAAGAGGGGCTCAGAGCCGTCATCGGTCAGAGAAACATCCTGCAGGAAGGAAAGTTGAATATTATGAGCACCATAAGCAGAAATTATGGTTCTCTGAATAATTTGAGATCAACTACCCTTATTCAGCCACAATTGTCTAGTAATGATTAAAAGCTGCAGCTGAAGTTGGGCTATCGTACACCGAAGTGAGATAATAAAGTTTTGAACGTATGAAGGATCAGAAAAAAAAAGAAAACCGCCACAGCGATATCTATGAACATTATACTTCTGCTGTACCAGAGTACTAAGTGATACTGCTGTGGAAGCAGGACTTGGTGTCGGGGTCCTTGTCAACACAATCGTCAGCTCCTTGGTAATCCCGTATTTCTCTTTCAACATTTTAGGAGAGCTGCAGGAAGAAGATGACGGTCACTGACTTTGGTATACAACATTTCAGCCAAGAACATAGAACCGTACACAGGACAACAAAACTTTTAAACGTGGCAAAATAAATATGGTAAGTTGGCCATGTTTGTTCTCTTCAAATGTAGAATGAAAAATTTCTTCTCATTTAGAATTAAGAAGAAATAAAGGTAATACAATAAAGCACCTTAATGGCTTTGGCGTTTCAGGCTGTTCATTAACAGAGTCCATCCAGTCGGTCGGATCAAACTTTGCTCTCTGTTTGGCGCCCGACTTGTTCACTTCTGTCTCGACCGGCTGGACGTCAGTCTGCAGGAAACAACCAGGACAAAATACTATGTTATGTTAACAAGACAATATTTGCTCCTGGAAAAAAAGATGAAGATTACCACTGTAAGTGCTCTGGGGCGTGACTTTAACTTGTGCACGACTCAAGTCAACCATTAATATAATCAGATGTGGCACGAGTTGTCATCAGTCACTATAATATTAAGAAAAGCAAATAAATGCTGAAATTTAAAACATCCCCCTTTCGAGGTCAATGATGTTTTCACAAAGCAAAGATTTACTCACTATTTTTTAACTCCTTAAAATGGCCAAGACAAAAATTAAAACAGTTCTACTTGTTGGGAAATGCTAATAAAATAAAATACTGGTCCCACATTTACATTAAATAACATTTTACATTACCTTTTCAAATGTATCAAAGCAGAAGAAAAACACAATAAATATTAAACTCTGCGTCTTCAAAACTGTTTAATAGGCAGTTATGCCGCAGCTAATGACATGACAGCTCATGACTGCCGGTTGTCATAACAACACAATAAGCTTTCTGGCTGGGACCTTTTTCAGGAGCTCAGCAGTCAGAAAAACTGACCGTCAGAGCAGCAATGGACAGATTGGACAAGTTAAAGAAAGCTTGAATAAATGCTGATACAAGTCTCACAGGACATGAATCTGAGATTACCAACCAAACTAAAATCTGACCGAACATGACTCCACTAACGGCTTAACGAACAGGCTGCTTGTGGAAGATAGATATCTATTCCCTGCGGTACTGCACGGTTCCAACATCATATATACTAAGACATTTTCTTTTCTGCAAGCTGCAAGTCCTTTGAAACACTCAAAACCTCAGCACTAAAAAGGGAAGGACTTTGGGAATTTCAGTGGGCAATCCAGCTTTGCCTGCAAGTTCACTTGATAATTTGAAAAAAGTGTGTGAACAGCACTGCTTAACGTCACGCTCTGGCTGGGGCACAATTCAAAGTTAACAAGTAAACAATATTAAGAGATGGTATAAAATGTTAAACATATTGGTGACAACTTAATCTCTGACCTGCAGAGTATAAACAAACATAACAGCTCCACCTCACCTCTTGGGGATGTTTCTGCTGCTGGTTCATCACCGGGGCGGGTGGTAGCTGCTGCTGCTTCTCACTCTTCGTCTGCAGCAGGACGGCTTTGCTTTTCACTGGACCTGAAGCTGGCCTGGTTGAGGATTTTGGAGCAGATTTCTTGTACATGGATGTAGGTTTCTTCCCTGTACTGAAGAAAGCAGCTCCAACAAAGATCTTCGGTTTAGGCTTCAGGCTGCTGAAAGTGATGGTGATGGCTTTCTTGGACTCTGCTGGCTTGGTGCTGGCGGAGGGAGCAGCGGTTGTAGCGGAGGCCGGTTTAGCAGTGAAACTGTTGAATTAAATAATGTAAAGATTGCAGAAACAAAAAGGTAAATTATAACTAAAACTGCACTTATGATGAAAAACACATGATGTCTAGACATAGAACGGGGTTTCAGAAAGCTGCAGCGGCACCAACAAAACAGCTGTAGATGGACTATAACTTATTTGGAAACAAACCTGCTGTTAAGTTTAGGCAGCTTGATCGCCTTGACACCCATCTTCCCCGCGTTACCAAATCCTGCAGCCACCTTTCGCGGCTTGCTGCTTCCTTTAACATTCTTCTTCTTTTTCTCCTGGGGAGGGGGGGGAGGAAGAGTAGGAGGAGGAGATGGCATAGACTCCTTTATTGCCTTCCTCTCTAATGGAGTCAGATAGATGGGCTTCTTCTTCCCGTAGAAGGAGCTTGTAACCATGGATGGTTTGAACGTAGATTTACGGGGTGATTTGGCTGGAGAGTCTAGAAGCAAAACATGGATACGCAAACAAAGACTTGAGAGAAAGTATGTGTGGAAAAAAGGAGGAAGATAAGTAATTTGCAGCATGTCCTAACTCAATGCATCTTCCAAGGGAAGAACCCTCCACTTCAAACCTAAAAACATATTTTTAAACACTGACTGATCCAAAGCATACTTTTCACTAGCCCACCCTACCTGTTGGTCTGCATGGGGATTTCTGTGGTGAGGCACAGTTCTCCTTGTCCAGAAGATTGACTGGCTTCTTCCTGGGCGATCTCCTCTTCACGGGGGACATCGCCTCGCTCACCCCCTTCTTAGCCGGGTGACTGGAGTCAAAGTTAAATAAGAGGATCAGTCACAGGGAGAACCAAGTGCTGCAGGAGTTTGCCTTGCCTTACATTAAAAAATAATAATAAAAAAAGAGAGTCTAAATTTGGCTAACTTTTGACTTAAATCTGGCCCAATCTGGTCAAAGAATAAGTAAATAAAATGACAAAATCTGACCAATTTTTCAATACTAGCTTACAGTTATTGAGTTTTCTATCATCTCTTCTATAGAAACGTTTGTCAGGATTGTGGTTCAATACCTAGCGCTGTTTGTTACATCCCAACCACAAACAGAAGTACATTTTGAGAGTAAACTCTCAATGATTAAACCCAGTGTGTTCACAACTCACCTGTCAGAGTCCAGAGAGGAGAGCTTTCTCTTTCTGGTAGTGGTTGGCATCATTTTCACAAACCCTTACCTCCACACACACACACACACACACACACAATAACATTAGCAGGTCTTCAAGGTTAACAGGTTAACATAAAATATCAGCATTTCAGCTTTAAAATGTTACTTACTCTCATTTTTAAACTTCAATTACATTTATCCACAAACATAATTGTAATTTCACAGTTTACTGTACTGAACACAAGAAAATAGGTAAGTAATTTAGTCTTAAAAGACTTAAGTTTGTATTATATACTGTTAAGTAGCGCTACTGATACTGGATACTGATCAGCCTTCTCAATTTACTAACACGACGCCGAATTTCATCGTGTCCATGCACAAATGTAAAATTATCTCGACGTTAGCTAATGTTAGCTTAGCGTTAATTTACATGTAAGCTAACGAAGCGCTTATTTAATTTAACAGCTAAAGTCGAGATCAATGGATAATTGGCGGGATGATTCACACAAAACTGACTCAATACAAACTAGCTGGCGTTTTGTTATCGATCAACAGTTTCTTGATCTAAGACGAACGTTTTTCCTGTTTGTCCGCGTTTTTTTCAGCTAATAAATAAATCTGCCTTAAACATAATGCAGTTCTGTCTGACGGGCGGACGCTTCCTAACGTAACGTCAACGTAAATAAATAAGACATTTGTGAGAGAAACGTTTCATACACGTATAATGAAACTTACCGGACAAGCTTCTGTCGAGCTGCACAAATCAATAAAATGTTGGTTTAAGGTTTGAGTTGCAGGCGGATCTCCTGCTTCTTCTGCCCGCGTTTCTTCTATGTGTTTTGAACAGCGCGCGCTAGTCTCTAAAAAAAATTGCACAACCAGATGGGACCGGAACCGGAAACTGTATTTTCTTAATCGAGTTAATAAAGTAAAAGCATGGAGGGACTTCTGGCCCTTGCCTTCAAAATAAAGCATCCTTGTTCAGTAAACGGCACTTTGCCAGTGAGCCTTTATGTTGTCGTCACCCTTGAAAAAGAGATAATATTTCAATGGGCTTCTTCTGGTTAAATAAAAGGTAAAAACAAATTATGGTGGCAAATGCATGGAACGTAAAAGCTTTTATTTTGTAAACCAGATGTGAGTAGTTCCGGTCTGGCTCATGCTAACTGTCTGTAGCTTGATGGAGCTAGCTAACAACTTCCCGGGTCAACTTATACATGCGAGAAGTGACAGCAGCAGCAGCGATCAGCGGGCAAACAGCTGGTTATTCATTGTCTTCATAATCAGTGGGTTTGCTTTCAAACTTCTTCATCTTTGAGTGGCGAGTTTTAATTCCCGTAAAATGGTGTTTTACTTCACAAGTGCCGGTGAGTGAAGCCACAGCACGGCTAACGGCAGCGTTAGCTCGTACCTGTTAGCCTGGTTAGCTCATAAGAAAGTTCTTTGTGCTTTTATGTGTTTTCTGCCAGTTTATATATTACTATTTCCTCGTGTAACTATACATGTTTGTGGTTTATCTATCAGTGGTGAACCCCCACTACACAATCTACATGGGAAAAGACAAATACGAAAGTAAGTTTGTTATCTGTAGATCACAGACAAACGCCCATTTTCACACACTTAAGTTACTGCGTTTTGTAAACTATTCGACTTCTGCTGTCTCTCTCGTTTGTATTGATATCTGTCATAAATGATGCTACATCTTAACTTGTTGGGATTGTTTTCGCAGATGAGGATCTAATTAAGTATGGATGGCCTGAAGACATCTGGTGAGACTTGTTTTGCTACTGTTTAATAGATAAAATAATATAATCTGTCAGCACTATTAGTAGGAATATCAATCTGAATTACAATAGCAAAAAAAACAGAAAACTGTGAAATGTGTGTTTTTATGTTGCCATATGTTGCTTTTATGTAAAGCGTTGTTATTGAAATGTGTTATACAAATAAACTTGTCTTACAAGAGTTGATGATGTTTTGTTGTTTGAACTAAACAACTGTGTTTTCTTTTTCACGTCCAGGTTTCATGTGGACAAACTGTCTTCGGCTCACGTTTATCTGAGACTGCCAAAGGTGAGGAGTACCACCGTGTACCTGAAACACTGACATTTAAGTACACGATCATGGCTTTAGTCCTCATTATCTGATAGTACAGAATTGAGATTGGCTATATTGAACACATTTATTTTTTTTGCTTTATTTACTACAGATTTAAGTTTCCTTTATTTTTGCTAAGTTTACATGTAGCCTAGCCTAGCCTAGGGCAAAACAGCAAAAATGAGACAACACTGATGATCTAATTTGTGTTTATGGTTTAGCCCTTGAACACAGAAGACATTTCACAGAACCGCCTTCAGGGTGTGCTGTTGCTTTCAGCAAAGATCACATTGATTCAGGATTTTGTATTTACAAATACAAATGGGGATTATGCACCACATTTCTTGCAGTTTGTCCTCAAAGTCATTCAGAGTGTTGCACTTGTTTGTACACGCACAAAGTGACAGAAGTAGTTTGTAGAGAATGATAAAGAGCTTGAAAGAGAACCCTGCATAGCCCATCACTGCATACAGAAAGACGGGATTTTCACATCGTTGGTTTCAGTAAGTTGCCTAATTGTCAGACGCTGCCCCCCAATACTGACGTCGGAAAAGTGTGTGGGGGAAGGTGATACTGTTCAATGACCAACCAAGCACTTAGTTTGCTCTGTGCGTGTCTTTTCTAGGGTCACACAATAGCTGATATCCCCCCGGAGGTGCTGATAGACTGTGCACAGCTGGTGAAAAACAACAGCATCCAAGGTAACGATCTGCTTCCTGATGATGTCATATCATTTGTATGATTTCTCTGATTGGGATCAGGTATCAGTCATGAGCACAGGGTTTCAGAATGAGCTCTCTGTGATCTTGGTGTGGTTGAAACAGCTGATCGAAGTGCATCCTGCTCTTTTCTGCTGGTTTTTGTGAGTGACACTTGCCGTACCTGTTGTTCGGTGTGTATTAAAGCAAACTATGTTGTGTGCTGTCAGGCTGCAAGATGAACAACATCAATGTGGTTTACACACCGTGGTCAAACCTGAAGAAAACCGGAGACATGGACGTAGGACAGATCGGCTTCCATCGACAGAAAGAGGTCAGCAGTGGATAATGGGTATAACGTGTATAAAACAGAGTTTGATTAAACCTGATGAAGGCTTCATGTTCACTCTGATGGATTATTTCTCAAGTTGTTTTTTTAGACTTGTATATAAATGAACAGCAGCAATGAGCTTCATCATGAGTCTCATCGCTGGCAGATCATCAGTTAAGGTGTGTCATGCTTGCTCTGTGTTTTCACAGGTAAAGATCGTGTCGGTGGAGAGGAAGATCAACGAGATCATAAACCGTCTGGAGAAAACTAAAGAAGAACGGCTCCCTGACCTGGCGGCGGAGAAAGAGTCGAGAGACCGAGAGGAGAGGAATGAGAAGAAAGCTCAGCTCCAAGACCTGAAGAAGAAAGAGAAGGACGAGCAGAAGAGGAAAAAAGAGATGGAGGAACTCAAGTAGGTCCACAACCCTGTGACATTGTTTTAGTGAAGTGGGACTGAACTAAATAATAGAAAATCTCAGTCTTGCAGAAAGTTTACAGTGATTTATATTCCTCCATAAGTAACTATTAGTCTGTAAGTAAGCAAGTTTTTTTTTTTTCCTGGTGTACACAAACAGTTTTGCAAATCAAAAAACATGAGCATCACTAACAAAGACGAGAACATGATGAATTATTACAAAAATGTCTTAATCTCTTCAGCTTCAAGTTTTGATTTTACAAATACAACCCCACTTCCAATGAAGTTGGGGCGTTTTTGTAAAACGTAAATAAAACCAGAAAATGTGCATTTGCAAATCCTTTTCAAACCTATATTCAATTGGATACACTACAAAGACCAGATATTTAATGTTCAAACTGATGAACTTTATTGTTTTTTGCAAATATTTACTCACTTTGAATTTGATGCCTGCAACACGTTCCAAAAAAGCTGGGACAGGGGCAACAAAAGACTGGGAAAGTTGAGGAATGCTCAAAAAACACCTGTTTGGAACGTTCCACAGGTGAACAGGTTAATTGGAAACAGGTGAGTGTCATGATTGGGTATAAAAGGAGCATCAGTGAAACGCTCAGTCATTCACAAGCAAGGACGGGGTGAGGGTCACCACTTTGTGAACAACTGCGTGAACAAATAGCCCAACAGTTTAAGAACTCTGCACGTAAGCTGCAAGGCTGAAAACCAACATTGAATGCCCATGACCTTCGATCCCTCAGGAGGCACTGCATTTAAAACCGACATCAATGTATAAAGGATATCACCACATGGGCTCAGGAACACTTCAGAAAACCATTGTCAGTTAATACAGGTCGTTGCTACATCAACAAGTCCACATTTCAAATTGTTTTTGGAAATTATTTTTATGAAGTCCTTCATGTTTATTAATTTGTAATGTTTTTGTTTCTCTCTCCAGGAACTACACGTCACTGATGAAGAGTGAAAATATGAAGACTAATGAGGTGAGCACAGACAGCTTTATTTTGTAAGAGTCAGGGTTAGAATAATTTTCAGTATGAGGTAGATTGATGAAACCGATGTTCCACAATGAAAACATATTTTTAGGTCGTGGACGAGCTTTGATTACAAGAGTTATTGGATTATACAGGGGCACAGTGGCCTGACTCTACTTCACCTGGTAAAAGAAAAGTATTTGACGCCAGCTCTGGTCATGTTCACCACATTAACTTGTGCTTCTCTGTCTGTCGTTTGCAGGACGGCTACGATTCAGACGACTTCATGTAAGCGGTGAACACCAGGCAGAGTACAGACAGAATCCTCCTCCACCTTTCAGATCTGCTGTCAGGACGTTCCCCTGCTGCTTTTTGTTGCTGCACCTCTGCACTGACATTGGAGAGAGAAATAAAAAAAGACAAATGGCTACCTTTTTTTGCTTTTGGACACTTGGAGCAGAAAGGGAGCCAATGAAGGACAGCGCTGGGTCTTATTCCACACTTGCTGATTGGTTCAGACACTTGCCACCAAACCAAGCTAGCCTCCTCATCAATGGACGACACTGTGGGAGAAACACAGGACATGAAGAATGCTGATGATCATTTTGAGGGGGGGGGAACACTGAAGTAGCAGAACTGTTTGATTGGGTTTTCACTTCCATGTCGACAGATCGTGATGTTTGTTAAAATGAGTGTGTGGGTGTTTAATAACCCTGCGAACCCTTCTGCTCACTTTCTTCATGTTGTCATTTCTCTGCATGCCAGATTTTATTGAATACAATCCAGTGTATCTATTAAAATCACTTATGTTGACAAGCCCTTTATATTCTTTTGTAAAGCACCACAAACCAGTTCCAGCCACTATCATTCAACTGCAGCACCATAGTGATTGGAGTAAAGGGTGACACAGTTTACAATGATGAAATACAGAGAGGAGGAACAATCAAATGTTTGGCATTTCTGCTAGAAATAAATGACTTTAGCAACTAACAAAGCACACAAAATTTGAAACACAGTTAAGAGTCAGCAAGTGGACCTCGAGTAAAGATGAAAACAGCTAGTGCTTTCACCTGTTCAATACTGGACCTGAACAACTGAGGAATGTGACGGCCGCATCAGTTTAGACCTGCAGATGTATGTGTCAAATCTAATCTAATGTCAGAGTCTGCAGGTCTAAAATGCTGATGCTGTTACTTAACCTTTCTTTTAAGCGAGGTGCTTTGCATGCCAGTTGTTTCCTGTGACAACATCATACTAACTTCTGAGGTAATATCTGTATTTTAGTGTGTTTACTTTCAGTGCCAAGATGTTTTGTTTCTGGTCTCCAATGTTGAAAATCTGAATCGTATTACTGAAATGATGATAATAAATCAGGATTCCTGTAAAGCGTATAGCAGAATATATGGTCAGGATTTGATAATGAGTTGTGGAAAGTATATTGCGACGTCTTGACATTTTACGGATAAATGTTTGTCTTGAACATCTGAACTGTAGCTTTGTTATTATGAATACATATGCTGCCATTTGGAATTAAATACAACACTTTCCCCTTTATTTTTATAAACTTTTTTAAAAATGTATATAAATATCTATAATCAATGGACAAATAACTAGACTTCAATTTGTGTGCATATTTCTGGGCCTTAGTATTGTCAGTTGATTTTGTTTGTAAATTAATGAGGGCACTTGATACAACCATATATGTTAATTTAAATTATTGTAATGCTCTTTTTATTCAATTCAATTCAAAAATCACTGTGTTACAGCAGCAGCAGGGCATAGTGTAAAATGTACGAGAACAAACCAACAATAAATGATATAAGTAAGGAGAATAATTGTATATCTAAATAAATAAATAAACAAGTATATCTAATTGTAAATCTACAGTATTGCACGGTCACATTATCGCATGGTTCAATAATACTTTTCTCCTAAAGACAATCCTAAAAGAAATGAGCTAGAAAATAAATAAAATAATGTTTTATTAAATACTACCCATTCCATCTACCAACCAAGCAATATTAATGTAGACATGTAAATAAAGAAACTTTTATTTGTAGTACATGAATATGCACTTATTTAAATGCTGCTTGTTGTCCATTATATGCTTATTGAATGTTTTTTGAACCAACGTAAAGTGACCTTGAGTGTTATTATATTAATATTAATATTGTATATTTTGTTATACACACTGACTTGACTTTAAATGCAAGTCAAAACACATCTTGCTTTATGAAAATAAATCACAAAATGTAGTTTTTCCTGAAGACATACAGTTAAAAACATGCTGTGTACTGGCCCAGGATTAGCATTTCTACTTTACTGGTATTATGAGGCTCAGCATTATTAATTAGAGGACATTCTCCAGAGGTTTTGTTGTTAATATGTTATAGATTTCAGTTCCCCTGATCCAAGATGACAATAACAGCATGATAACATCCATTGTAAGGGTGGCCACATCATTAATTTCTTTGTAATATTTCGGTCTTTGTATGTAAACAAATGTAGGTAACATTCACCGTAGAAGTGCAGCGTTGCGCCCATGAAACGTGTGTCGTCTCTGATGTGAAGAAGAAATAACTTGGAGGATGCGGGCATCGATCCCGCTACCTCTCGCATGCTAAGCGAGCGCTCTACCATTTGAGCTAATCCCCCGTGATGCACAGTACGTTGTGACGTAGCGATATATACGGAAGTGAACATATACAGGACAAGCGTAAACAAACAAGCGTAAATGAAATACTCGGCAAGGAGCACACACGTTAAATACACAAAAACAACAACATGTGTATGCAGCGAGACAGCAAGACAATAGTGACAAAAGTGATAGCAAAGGGCAAAGAATACTGGATTAAATATTTTTGTGCCGAGGTAATTTTGTACATTATCAGATTATCAGACTCACATACATACAATAATTTAACAGCATTTTTGGAAAATGTGATAGATCTACTTTCTAATTATTTTGAAAGGTCAATATTTAAAACAGGAAAAAGAGGTCTAATTAATTCACACTCATAAATATATAATCTGGCAAATATAATATAAATATATTATTGTAATCAGAAATTCGCAAAAATTCTTTATTTAGAAAATAAAACTCATTAAAGAATATTTAAAATTTTTACGCATGGTTGTGTTGTGTTAGAGGGCCGAGAAAAGAAACAATGAAAAAGAAAAAAATGCTACATTGGAGGATGCGGGCATCGATCCCGCTACCTCTCGCATGCTAAGCGAGCGCTCTACCATTTGAGCTAATCCCCCCTCTTTCACGCTGTGTACGGACTTCAAGTGAGATTGGGTTCCGGGTCCACACCTCTTTAATTATTCAGGATCCAAACTGAAACGTTGCTTTTCCCTGCCGAGATTTGCATCCCTTCCTCTCTACAACAGACCCAAATCAGTTTTGCCGATTATGCATCCACCTCTGAAGTTTGTTTTCAGATCCTATTTAGAGAGATAGATATTTTGAATTGTCACCTGCCACCTGAATTTTGTGTTTCCCTTTATGAAGACATTTCAATCATAAATTGGTGGGGAACATGTCTGCCTTAATGTCTTAAATGTGTTAAATGCTCAAAATTTTCTGGGATAATTAATTTCGGGATAAAATGCATTGTAACGCTGAGATTGTAAAGGGGTAGTAATATTACCGTTTTTGTTTTATTAATGCCTTATATTACTGCCTTACAGCTAAACGCAATACATTACTGTAATTGCATTACTTCTCTCTCTCTATATATATATATATATATCTATATCTATATTTGAATCAGATTCAGAATCAGAAGGAGCTTTATTGCCAAGTAGTGTTTTACACATACGAGGAATTTGCTGTGGTGATAAGGTGCTACACATAGACAAACATACAGTCAACATAAATAAATGTGGAAATATAAATATGGAATTGAAGAACAACGTTGCAGATATATACATGTGCATTATTCTGGGTCTGTGCCGTGCAGAAGTAACGCAGCGGAAGAGAATATTGTGTACATATAAATATATAAACTCAAAAATCAACAACAAATATGTGCGACGTGCCAGGTCTGTGGCGAGAGGTTTTGGTCCTGATGGATCGCAGCCTCTTGCCAGAGGGGAGAGTCTGAAACAGTTTGTGTCCGGGGTGGGACGAGTCAGCTGCAATCTTTCCTGCTCGCCTCAGAGTCCTCGTGGCGTACAGGTCCAGAAGAGAAGGAAGATTGCAGCCAATCACCTTCTCTGCAGAGCGAATGATACGCTGCAGCCTGCCTTTGTCCCTGGCAGTGGCAGCAGCGTACCAGGTGGTGATGGAGGAGGTGAGGATGGACTTAATGATGGCGGTGTAGAAGTGCACCATCATTGTCTTTGGCAGGCTGAACTTCTTCAGCTGCCGCAGGAAGAGCATCCTCTGCTGGGCCTTCTTGGTGATGGAGGTGATGTTCAGCTCCCACTTGAGTTCCTGGGAGATGATGGTGCCCAGAAAGTGGAAGGAGTCCACAGCGGTGACTGGGGAGTCACACAGGATGATGGGGGAGGGTGGGGCTGGGGTCTTTTCTGGAGGAGCAGCTGTTGGTGTACAGGGAGAAGAGAAGGGGGGAAATAACGCAGCCTTGAGGGGAACAGGTGCTGATGGTCCTGGAATCAGAGACATGTTTTCCCAGCTTCACGTGCTGCTTCCACCTGCAGGTAAAATCAGGCACGTTCAGCTGGGAGAGCTTGTCCTGCAGCAGGGCCGGGATGATGGTGTTAAAAGCAGATCCACAAACAGGATCCTGGCGTAGGTTCCTGGGGAGTCCAGGTGCTGGAGGATGTAGTGAAGGGCCATGTTTACTGCATCATCTACAGACCTGTTGGCTCTGTAGCTGAACTGCAGGGGGTCCAGGAGTGGGTCTGTAATGGATTTTAGGTGGAACAACACAAGGCGTTCAAAGGACTTCATAACCACAGAGGTCAGGGCGACGGGTCTGTAGTCGTTTAGTCCTGTGGTCCATGGTTTCTTGGGGACAGGGATGATGGTGGAGGCTTTGAAGCAGGCTGGCACATGGCATGTCTCCAGTGAGGTGTTAAAAATGTCTGTGAACACCAGAGACAGCTAATCAGCAGAGTGCTCCAGGGTGGATGGGGAGACAGAGTCCGGCCCAGCTGCTTTACGGGGTTTCTGCCTCCTAAAAAGACGTTGACTGTCTGTGATGGAGAGAGGAGGGTAGGGGGTGGAGCTGGCCAGCTCTGAAGAGGGGGGGAGAAGTGGTGGACCAAGGCTGAAGCTAATCGGAGGAGTCACGGGGGATGGTGTCCGATTGACTCTCAAAGCGGCAGTAGAACTGGTTCAGCTCATTTGCCAGGCAAGAATCGTTTATGGAGTGGAGGACTTTGGGTTTATAGTTTGTGATCTGTATGAACCCCCTCCAGACAGAAGTGGTGTCATTTGCAGAGGACTGGTTCTTTAGTCTCTCTGAGTACAGTCGTTTAGCTTCTCGCACCTCCCTGCTAAACCTGTACTTCAGCGCCCTGTACCCGGCCCTGTCTCCACTCCTAAATGCCTCCTCCTTTTCCAACCTTAGCTGTCTGAGTTTAGCTGTGAACCAGGGTTTGTCATTGTTATAACTCACCCTGGTCTGTGTTAGAATGCAGCTGTCCTCACAGAAGCTGCTGTAGGACGTCTACATCTATTTTTATGGCAATATGGATAAAATTATAACTTTATGGGCTAAGGTCCAGATCCGACTGCTTACAGACAAAATCTTACTGTCTGTCCCTTCGATAGCTCAGTTGGTAGAGCGGAGGACTGTAGAATATAAATATCAGACATCCTTAGGTCGCTGGTTCAAATCCGGCTCGAAGGAGGCAAAGTTTTTTGACTTAATAATGCTGTTTTTCCATTACCAGTACCACCAGTTTTCCATTACAGCTCTGTGAGCGGGCGGCTGGCCGGCCTCACACGCTCCTCCCGCGGGTTGGCACAGGCTTCCTGTATATAAAACTGTATATAAAAAGGTTTCCTCGCCTCCGAAGTAGGTATATATTGTCTATATTTTTTGGCATCATAAAGCCTATCTGGGGAGCAGGGCCGGCCCTGGCCAATTTGCTGCCCTAGGCAAGATTTCACCTGATGCCCCTTAGATAAGATATCCAATTCCTCCTAAATTTAAGGAAGTACATTTTAAAACAATAAATAATATATATCCCTCTAATGAGTTTGTAAAGAAAAGATTCAAGTTTGAGGTAGACAATTGTCATATCTGCAACATTTATGTTGAAACAACTGAACACCTGTTTTATGAATGTCAAATGGCTCAGAATTTATGGAAATCTCTTCACAGCATGTTGTCCTCCAGATCTATAAACATAGATTTCTTTTCATATCAAAATATTCAGATGGGTGTAATTCTACAAAATAAAAATGATGAATTTTTGGTAAATAATCTAATTATAGCTACAAAATATTATATACATAAATGTCGATTTGCCAAGTCCTCCCCCACATGGTCTGCATTTAAAAATGAACTTTTGCTGTTTCAAAACCGTCTTAAAAAGGTTGAGAATGCCCAG